TCTAATCAAAATAATGATTCAAAAAAGGCAAATGAGAGAAAGCAAACACACGTAGGATGATTTCCCTTCTTCCCTATGTGTCTCACATCCAAGGAGCTAACTCTTTGTTTTCCTTTGTTGAAAGCTAAGGGAATGCTTCTATCTTTTCTGTTTGCTTTGCAGTATTTGCTTAGCAGCTCCTTGGCAATGGTACAAAATTACAACCTGTCTCAGTCAACTGGCTTGCAAAGCTGTTTTCATCAAAGATGTAGAGTGGTCTTTTCCTAAAACTCCAACATTAGGTGGGAGAGAGATGTGGAGAGGTTGCAGCCACTCAAGAATGATAAAAATGTTTTTACTACAAAATGTTTCTAAAAGGCACAGGTGGACCTTCATCAAAGAGGGTATGGCTTTTATCCAGAGCATATTGGTAATATTCTATAAAAACAATGATAACAGACATCAGTGCTATTTTCTCAATAGCAGATATTCTTAGCCATTTTAGGTCAGGCTTCCAGAAACATTCCACAGATGCTTAATAAAGATATATAGCAAGAGTCATTGAGTCATTACCCCAGTTCATTGTGTACTGTGGCAGCAAAGTCTTAGCCTTCTCTTGTTAAGAGTCAAAAACAGCAGGACCAGCAGATGGCGTAATGGTTATGCCACTGGATTCCCATGTGGTTGACTATGGAATCTAGTCTCTGACCCGGCTGCTTAAAACTCATGCTGAGCATGTGTGCATGCGTGCTCAAGATCCCAAGAGGAGAATGGAGGAGGAGGGATTGAGGTATGACCATACCCCTGGGGAGTGATTTCTAACTTTCTGTCTCTCTCTGTCTCTCCAGCAAGCACATGTTTCCTATAGCAAAAATCTCTCTCTCTCTCTCAAAAAAAAAAAAAAAAATAAAAAAAAGGTTTAACTATAATGCTTTAAAGATAGAAAGATAGGGGCTGGATCATGGCCCAGTGATAAAACGTGACACTCCATGAGACTGAACAAAATGGGAAGAAGGTTCCAGATTCATGTCCAGAATCCTCCCTGAGCACACTGGGCACACCTGTGCTCATGATCGGGGGCTGGTAAGCTGGGGATGGGTCATTGCATCAGGACCCTATTGGGGGTGCTCTCTGTTTCTCTTTCTCTTTCTCTGTCTCTCTCACTCATGGAAGAAATAAATAAACTTCAAAATAAAAATAAAAATAAAAAAACTAGAAAGACATACTGCCTTTCTCCAAGGAAGTCTCCCGTGAGACCTGCAGTCTAACAAAGTAGCTCTGAGCTGCAAAGAGCTGAGTTTGCATTTCCGCTTATCCACTCACTAGCACTTACCAGTTCTGTAAGCCGCAGCTTCCTCTTTGTAAGATGGGGCTAACAAGAATACTACTTTTCTGGCATTTAAGGGTTAAATGATATAACTCAGAAAAATAAAAATGCTGAGCATAGAGTTGGTGTCAGAGTAACCGGGGAGCCCTCACAGAGCGGTTTTAATGTTCTTGATGCTAAGGAAGGCCACAGCGGACTCCAGCCAGGGTTTCTCTGTCCCTGTGGAAGCGCTGAGCCGGTGTGCTGTCCGAGAGTCCTTCCTTCTCTGCAATGTGTTTGGCCTGAAGTCTGGGCCCTGACATTTTCAATTCCCAGGTTTCTCTGAGAGCAAATATTCATGGACAAGCCTTTCAGAGAAGAGAATGAAGTGGAGTCTGAAGGTAAATCCACCCAGAGGATCTGAAGCCACTCCTTGCCACAGATGGACCCCTGTAGTCTGTCCTCATGTCTCAGAATCGGGGGTGGGGGGGTGGGACTGCCATTGTTATTTTTATGGCCAAAATATTTCCTTACCAGTGGGTGCTGTCATTACAGATAAAACAGGAGGAAAACAAGGGTGATGAATCTAAGTTGCCTGCCCCACAGAGAGTTAATTGTTCATCCCTTGGACCACTTTCCTGTTCGGGCATCTTTCAGTTAGGTAGCTTTCCCAGCGATGGCCCTGGCTGCCTAGCAACCGCCATCTCCAAACCTTCCCTGAGCGACAGCAGGAGTTGTTCATGTCAGCGCCATCATTTTTTTAAATTTAAAAGTACCTTGTTTTATGAAAATTTAAACCTTCTAAAAAGGTAGCTTCCCAAGTGTATATTGTTCCCAAACAATTGTCGACAACTATGTAACACTGACATTGAATTTGAAACTGTAAATTTTTGAGTGGCTATCCACATAAATGTGGGTGTCTTCTTAAAAAAATTATATATCTTTATATACAACCAGACCTAGAGCTTGTGAATACTCTTAGGTGATTTGACCACCAATCATCCTTGATCCTTCCTTCATAAATCTGGCATCATTATTCCTGTGTTTGCCCTGAAAGTAAATATGCCATGGATTTTGCTGCAGTTTCTGACTGCTAATATTCTGCATTGTTCTACAGAAAGAGCAGCAATCAATTCTATCTTATTTATATGTGTAGAAATGGATGATTTGAATTAAAATTAATCAGAACATGATGATTCACCAGAAAAATCGATAAATTAAAAGGTCACTAATTTCTCCAAATGATTTTTAGGTTGTTTTGCAATCCTTCTGGGCTTAATCTTCTCTATTAAATTATCTCTGGGTCTACACAATTATTAAGTCAGTAGCACTCGGTATAATTAACTCCTGGTATTAATCCTCTCACGGATTTTCACCCTGGCTTTTTTTTAACTCATTTGATTATTCCTTAGATTAGAAACTGTGACCTCAACTGCCCTCTTTGACAATAAGTTATTTAGGGATGCAGCTTGGAGAGCCACAGGCAATGTGTAAAGTGACTAAAAGATCAGCCTGGGGACCAGCAGTTGGCTTAATGGCTATGTCGCTGGACTCCCATGTAGTCGACCACAGTTTGAGTCCCGGACTTGGTGGCTTAAACTCACACGAGGCATGTGTGTGTGCATGCCCAAGATCCCAAGAGGAGAATGGAAGAGAAGGGATTGCGACATGGCCATGCCCCCGAGGGGTGATTTTTTGCTTTCTAGCTCTCTGTCTCTCTCTCTCTCTCTCTGTCTTTCTGGCAAGCGCATGTGCCCTATAGCAAAAACCTCTCCAAAAAAAAAGAAAAGAAAAAAAGATCAGCCTGACTGGGGCAAGCCATTTGAATTTTTTTTTCTTTTTTTTTTTTAAGAGATGTTTTTGCTATAGGGCGCGTGCACTCTCCAGAAAGACAGAGACAGACAGAAAGCGAGAAATCACCCCCCAGGGGGGATGGCCACGCTGCAATCCTTTCTTCTCCAGTCTGCTCTCGGGATCTTGAGCACACATGTACATGTGCCCAGCGTGAGTTTAAGCCACTGGGTCCGAGACTCGAACCGTGGTCTACTACATAAGAGTCCAGTGACATAGCCATTATGCTAACTGCTAGTTGTGTGCTCACCAGAAAGATGAGAGAGACAGAGAGACAGAAAGTGAGAAATCACCCCCCAGAGGAGATGGCCATGGCGCAATCCCTTCTCCATTCTCCTCTAGGGATCTTGGGCATGCACACACATGTGCCCGGTGTAAGTTTAAGCCAACAAGTCCGGGACTTGAACTCTGGTTGACTACTTGGGAGTCCAGTGACATAGCCATTACGCCAACTCCTGATCTCTTGAAAAATTTTTTTTTAAGGTTTTGTCATAGGATACATGCACTCACCTGAGAGAGACAGAGAGATATATAGAGAGAAAGTAAGAGATCACCCTCTCAGGATGGATGGCCATGCTGCAATCTCTTCTCCATTCTCTTCTCGGGATTCTGAGCAATTTAAAAAGGTAGCTTCCCAAATGTATATCATTCCCAAACAGTTGTTAACAACTGTGTAACACTGACATTGAATTTGAAACTAAATTTCTGAGTAGCTATCCACATAAATGTGGGTGTCTTTTTTTTTTTAATTATCTTTATATACAACTAGACCTAGAGCTTGTGAACACTCTTAGGTAATTTAACATGCACGTGTGCATGCACACATGCCCAGTGTGATTTTTCAAGCAGCCAGGTCTGGGATTCGAACTGCTGCCATCTGTATTGGAATCCAGCACCTTAAACACCATGCCATTTATTGGCACCACATTTGATTTTTTCTTTTTTAAGATTTTTGCCATAGGGCACATGTGCTTGCTGGAGAGAGACAGAGAGACAGAGAGAGGGAAGGTGAAAAATTACCCCCCATGGCCATAATCCCTTGTCCTCCATTCCCCTCTTGGGATTCTGAGCATGCATGCACACACACCTGATGTGATTTTCAAATTGCTGGGTCTGGGACTTGAAATGTGGTCAGCCATATGGGAGTCTAGCACTTTACTCACCATGCCACTGCTGGCCCCATCACTTGAATTTTTTTATACCTTAGTGTTCCTGTCTGTAAAATGGGAATAGTGTCAGTACCTATGACATAGAATTACTGTAAGAATTAAAAGACAATGTATTCAAAACATTTAACAGAATAACTAGAAAGTAATATACATGAAAATCAATAGGATAGCAAGAAAGAGAAATCTGAGAAAACAGTTTCTGAAAATATGAAATCAGATGAACAAATGTTCCTATATCTTTTTTTTCCCCTATTACAGTGTCCTGAATTCCATTTCCCTCCCATCCAAAAAGGCCCTCTTCACCATCAACAAGCAACCAAAATAATCCCCAAGTTTTCATGAAGTAGTCAAGATGTTTCTCTACACATAATTCCTTTTTCTTTAATTTCAGCTTTGGGTGGAGTATTGTAGAAATATTCAGGTAACCTACTGAATATAAATGGTTAGGAAAATTCACTTTTATTATTTAGCGGCAGGTAGATTTGGCTTGGAGTCAGTTGTCAGCAGCAGCAGCAGCAGCTGTAGTAGACATTTATTTAGCAACTCTCAGCTGCGGGGCAGGGTGGGTGGTGTATGGGGGCAAGCCAGATCACAAGGAGATACAGGCCTGGTCCTTGGAGACATGTGGAACCTCGCCAGGGAACCCGTTGGTATCTCTACAATATTTTGTTTTCTCTTCACTGTCCAATAAACAGTACTTCATTTCCCCGGAGGGCTCTGACTTCACAATCGACAGCGTTGGAACAATTTCCACAGCAAAGGCTTTTGATTTTGAAAGTGAAGCTAGAAGGTAAATACACTACTGGGTTTGCACTTGAAATGTGGGTTCTTGGGTTCATCTGATGGATCTTTAAAATGTTCATGGAAATATTGATATTATGAAATAATGACCCATGGATTTAAAATATATTTTTCACCAAAATACATGTGTAGTTTAATTCAGCTTTTCCATGCATTTTTCAAAGTCCTTGCATATTTCACTCTTCTAGAATATTTCTTTCTACCTGGCATGACTGTGCATTGAAAATGGAAATGCTGTTGGCATTGTCTTAAAAAATGAAATCATACGTAACCTGTGATTGCATAATTGCTGATTTAGGGGCTAAATCAGCACCACCTGCTTTCTTCAGAGCGAAACATCAAGATTTCAGTGGTGGTGTTTGTGGCCTTCTGTGAGAGGGAGTGGGGACAACTCTCTGGGTACCTGTGACACAGAATTCCTTCATAGTGTATTCCAGCAGCTTTGACACGTTAATGCACTGACACCCTTTCCATGTCTGCCAAGTGGGTAGACACTGGCTCATGTGATTATTTTAATTTTTGTAATGATGTCTATGACCGCCCTTTGCAGTCACATCTTCTGCATCAAAGTGCCTCACAGGTAGAGAAAATGGACCATTCTAATCAAATTGCCCCTGAATCTCATAAGAGATTCTTCCCTATTGTGAAAGCGGAGGATGGGATATGAAGATGGAGTTCTGACTACTCTTCCTATCTTAAGCTACTTTCTAAGGGGCTGGGGAAGTCACATCTACAAACATTAATCTTGCTGTGACAGACCACTTTGGTCTAGTAATAACGGACAACTCCTAGGTCCTGACCCTGGCATCGTGTCACCTGATAAATAACAAGGCCTTCTCATCTACGTTTAGGTTAAATTCAGACATTCTTTTCTACTGATTCCAAGTCTCTCTGAGACAAAGACTTGTGCATTTAACCAATTACTTTTTTAAAAAAAGAATTATTTATTGGGGGGACTAGCAGTTGGCATAATGGCTATGTCGCTGGACTCCCATGTAGCCGACCGCAGTTCGAGTCCTGGACCTGGTGGCTTAAACTCATGCCGGGCGCGTGTGCATACATGCCCAAGCTCCTGAGAGGGGAATGGAGGAGAAGAGATTGTGATGTGGCCATCCCTCCTGGAGGGTGATTTCTCACTTTCTGTCTGTCTTTCTCTGTCCTTCCGGCGAGCACACATGCCCTATAACAAAAACCTCTCCAAAAAAATTATTTATTTTGTTTATTTAATTATTATTACTACAGCTACTACTACTACTATTATTATTATTAAATTTGACCAGAGAGAGAGGGAGAGTAAGAAAGCCACCAGGTCCAGGACTTGAACGGCCATCAGTCATCTGGGAGTCTAGTGCCTTACCCACCACACCACCTGCCAGCCTCCCAAAACAGTCTTTATTTTTAACAGTGATTCATTTGCAGTTTTTGTCAAGAGCTGATTCATACATAATCATCTTCTTGTGTATTAAACAGGAGGAAACTTGAGAAATAGTTTAAATTAGGACAAATAGGAAAACAGTCACTTTGGTTTTAATTATTGGCACATTTCAAGTTAAAAAATATGTAAAGGATAAGTAATTATTTTTATAATTATTTATTTTATTTTATTCATTTATTTATTTATTTTTTTTTAGTTGTACCAGAGAGAGACAGAGGGTGGGAGTGAGAGAGAGAGGAAGTGAGAAAGCAAGCCACCAGATTCAGGACTTGAACCCTGGTTGGCCATGTGGGAGTGGCCAGCACCTTAATCACCATGCCACCTGCTGATCCCAAGGATAGGTAATTTTTCTGGTTTGTCCGAAACTAAGAAATTTTTCTGGGACATGGGACTTTCAGTGCCAAAATTTGGACAAATCTGGGGCAAATTGGGAGAATCCAAAAATCAGTCTATGGATGTGAATATTTCCCTTTCCACTAGGACACATTCAGTTTCCTCATTTCCTCACATTCTTCAAGCCATACACATCTCTGCTAAAATAAAAGCCCTTTAGTTATCTAACCACCCTAATATTGGGTCATCGGAAAAGTCACAAGGTATTTTTCTATGCAAAAATGTGTCATGACTTTTCCAATGACCAGTATTTCCCCATAGTTATTAAGTTATTTTGAAGAGTACTTTTTAAAATTTAGTTAATTAATTAAATTCCATGTGTTATTATTAGTTTTTAATTTGACAAGAGCAAGTGAGAGAGAGAGAGAGAAAGGGGAAACGAGAAAACAAATCTCCAGGTCCAGGACTCGAACTGCAGTTGGCCATGTGGGAATCCAGCACCTTTACCCACTACACCACCTCCTGGTCCCATTAAAACTAATTTTAAATTATTAAATATAAATTTAAATGTCTTCAGAATTTTTAGCATGGGAATCAAGGGCCCAAATGGCCTCTGTCCTAAATGGCCATTCTGGGTGGGTGCCACAGAGACAACTGGGTCACTGAAAAACTTAGAACACATGCAAAAACCTCTCTTATGTCCAATAATTCAGTCTTTAAATAAGATAAGCCAGACTAGTAGAGGGCTAGCTTGGGTTTCCTTTACTTCAAAGGAAAACAACTCCAGTAGCCTTATTTTTCTAAGTAACTCAAAAAGAACTATTAAAAACAAATACATGGGATACATATAAATAGAGTAAATATAATTAAACTTGTCATCATTTTTACTTTTTTTAAAGTAGTTGAAATTTTAAAGATATAATATGTTAAATTAATTAATAGGAATGAAGTGCTGGAATTATTTTTAAGCATTAAAACATTACTTATTAAGTCAAAGTTTAAGTGTCTATACTTTGATGCAGGAACGCAGAAAGGGGGCGGGGGGGGCGCGGGGGTGTTCGGGCCCACACTTAAGTGATACACAGGTTTTTGTCCCACACTCAGGAAGAATTAGAGTCATGGACACAGAATAGGTAGAGCAAAGTGGGGAATTTATTAAAAGAGAAGGGAGGGGTCCTGGAAAATGGGTTGTCTGAAGAGTTCTTAACACCATCTCCTTTGTATCTGTCCATTGTCGATATTGAAAAATGGATGTTTGAAAGGTAAGAACCCAAGGTACAAGCTTTGTTTGTTACAATGTGTATGAAATTCCCTCTTTTTTTAAAAAAATTATTATCATAATCATTATTTATGGGGATTTACAGACTTTTCTAAATTTCTGCTATCCTTTCAACTGATTTGACTAATTTTCTTTTTAACAAAATCTCAATCATTTCCAACTGTTAAAACAGAGGTTTGGCTGGTGTTTTAACTAGACAAATCAATTATTTTAACTGGCCAGTTAAGTCCAGTAGATTTTATTTCTGTGAAAGCCTGTTCGCTGCTATAAGAGCTTAGCTGTCTTTGTTGTGGCTGCATTTTCAGTTTTTCACTCGTTATTAAAGTGGTTGATCCTGGAGGACTGTTTGCTGCTGGAAACCTAAAGATTTTCCTCATTAATGTTAACAATAAGGACCCCATTCTCACTTGCAGGTAAGGGAATAAAATGATACAACATGTTATTTTCATTTAACTTTGAAAATTAAATTTGAAAACATAGTCTCTCAAATTCATTATCAAATGGAATAGTCTTCTCTCTCCCTCATCCACTTTTTTTTTCCTCTGAAAAGGAAAATAAGCAATCAGATGTAGACAACCACTTACGGTGAAAGATTCCAAAGAAAAGGCTTTCTGCAAAACTGAAAGCAAATCAGTTTTAAAGTATTGAATGCATTGAAATTGCAGTAGAATAAGGTGTTATTAGTGCAGTATGTTCTTAGGGTCTGACGAGTTAGATTATCTCTTACTACCCTCAAGGGAGATTCTGGCTAATATTAACAGAGAGTTTATAAAACGATATTGCAGGCCAACAATTTTTTGCAGCTGTTTTTTACTATGAAAGAATAGAAGACAATGATTAAGAATATGGACTCTGGAGCTAGGTGAGCTTGGGGTCAAATTCTCTCTCAGCTGCCTTGATAGTTACCTCTGGAAATTACTTAATTTCTTAAATTCTATTGCAACAAGTGTAAATGTGGATAACAATGGTACCTTATTTCCTAGGGATATTGTGAGAAATAAATGAGGTAACACATAAAAAGGGCTTAGGAGTTTATCTGAACTGTGGAAAAGTCTCAGGAAGTGGGTTAATTATTAATTTCATGTAATAATTCCCACTGTTGTTAGTACTGTCTCCAACCTCCTATTCCTTCAACCCTATAAGGTATAGAAAAGAATATACAGAAAACAAATGCCGGGACCAGCAGTTAGCATAATGGCTATGTCGCTGGACTCCCACGTAGTCTACCGCGGTTCAAGTCCTGGACCCAGTGGCTTAAACTCACGCCGGGCACGTGTGCGTGCGTGCCCAAGACCCCAAGGGGAGAATGGAGGAGAAGGGATTGCGGCGTGGCCATCCCCTCTGGGGAGTGATTTCTTGCTTTCTATCTCTCTGTCTCTCTCTGTCTGGCGAGTGCACGCACCCTATAGCAAAAACCTCTCAAAATAAAAAAAAAAAGAAAAAAAAACAAATGCCATTCTAATCATCTTTTTTTTTTTTTTAATTGGGAGATTTAACCTTTGCCCTAGATCCATGGAATGTTTACTTTGCAGTTGACAAAGGTAGGCTGAGAATTGTTTTCAGAAAATGCTCTTGTCATAGTCTGTTGCTATCATCTGTTTCTGTTGCTATCATCAGCATCTACCACCACAAGACTGAATTTCTTAGAGGTAGGCATTGTCTTCTGCATGTCTAATTCCAACACAAAATACATAGTAGGTGCTTCATAAATATCTGTTAAATAAATCCCTCCATGAAGAATTGTTTGATCACTCACAAGCTGATGTGCAGCTCTTCAGGGCTGCTTCAAAAATGGCCGTCCTAGCTCTCCACTTTACCTACCCTTGCTGCTCACCTTCTCAGACCTAACTCATCTCTGTTACAAATCCATTTTTTTTCATTTGTTAAAAGTGTGCATGCATGTGTGGGAGAGAGAGAGAAAGAAAAGGAAAGTGAGAAAGCATCTCAAGAGGGGGATGACCTTGCTCCAATTCCTCCTCCATTTTCCTCCCAGGATTTTGAGCATGCACACACACACACACACACACACACACACGCACACACACACTGTGGTGTGTTTCTCAAGCCCTGCATCTGGGATTTGAACCGTGCTGTCGGCCATGTGAGATCCAGCTGCCTTACCCACCACACCACTGGCTGGCCCACAAATCCAAAATTGTGTGAGAGAGAATCTGATTGGACTTTCTAGGGTCAGTCATTCATTTCTCATCCTATCAACTGTGGTTAAGGCTTAGGGATTGTCACATGTGATATCTAAGGTATTCTGGGGCTGGGTAGCAAAGAAAGGTAGTGACCTTTAGCACATAAGCAGGCTTAAGCCATTATATTGGATGCTGACATGTTCCAATGATATCTCCTCAGGCCTTACTTAAGACTTAGTGCAGCAAGCCTGACTTCCAACTATCAGTGCATTTGTTGGCTTAAGGGGCTATTGGGATCTCACACCTGCCCTCCTCCTACCTCCCAAACATCAGGTTAGAAGTATTGGGGAAATACTACCCCCAGGAGTGCTCAGCCAATGAATAAAGAGAATTGGTGTGTAACTACTCCAGCTCTTGGGCCCTGGGATTGGACAGTTTTGAGTGTATATTCTCTACTGGGTTTCAGAGTTCTTCAGTGACATTAAGCTCTACTTGCCCCCAGTAGTAACTTGCTCAGTGACGTACTTTTTATTGGGAGAGTCCCTTTCTTGTATCATTTCCCCCTTGTCACATTGCCCGAGAACTCCTCCTGAATAAACTACTTGCACTCAAATTCTCATCTCAGGTTCTGCTTCCAGAGGAGCCCCAACCAAGACAGCTACCATCTGCTGTCACCTGAACTACTGCACAGATCTTAACTAGGCTCCCATTTTCACCCTTACTGCTCCCAGAGTCTCTGCAGAACAGCTAGATTGAATTTTTTTAAATGTCAGGTTGAATCTTATTCTTCTGCATAAAACTCCCTTGTGACTTCATTTGCATTGTAATCTAGTCCAGGTTTCTTTTCTTAAGAATTATTTATTTTGTTTTATGTATTACTATTATTTGAATTTGCCACAGGACATATGTGCTCACCAAAGAGAGACAGAGAAAGAGAGAGAGGGAAAGTGAGAAAGCAAGCCACCAGGTCCAGGACTTGAAATGCGGTTGGCCATGTGAGAGTCCAGGCCCTCAACAGCCATGCCGCCTGCTGACCCCGCAATTCAAGTTTCTTACCTCACTCCATGGACCCTGTATTCTCTGGCCCTTTTACTTTTCTCCAGCCTCACTCCATTCCTTATCTCCTTTTGTCCATTACATTGCAAGCACACAACCTGGTTGCCTGCTTTGGGAATCCTGCCCTTGCGGGTTTTTTTTAGTTTCTGATCATTAGACATTCATTTTAAAAAATCACATTACAGTTTTCATTTCCTTAATAAATGTCTATTTGAATTGTTTTTTTCTACACTCACTTGGTGTTTGTCTCATAGGCCCTATTGTAAATTCCTTAATTCATTGTGGTAGATCCAGTTCCTGGCACACAGGGTTTAACAAATGTTTACTGAATGAGTAGGTGAGTGGGTGTTTGGATAAAGACCAATAATCGTGATGTGTTACTGTGTTTTCATTAATGATGTTCTCGTTACTGGGAATGATCTCCTGCCACTCACCACCACTTCTTTATCTTGTGCATTTTTCAAGGCCTACAACAAGGACATCCTCTTCTAAAAAGTCTTCTCTGTTCCCTTAAGCTAAAACAACTTTGTTTTGCTATGGCTAGCATGCTATGATTATTAAGCATATATATATATATATATATATATTTGGAAGGTTTTTGCTATAGAGCGCATGCGCTCGCCAGACAAACAGAGAGAGACAGAGAGACAGAAAGCGAGAAATCACCCCCCAGGGGGGATGGCGACGCCGCAATCCCTTCTCCTCCATTCTCCTCTCGGGATCTTGGGCACGCACGCACACGCGCCCGGCGTGAGTTTTAAGCCACCGGATCTGGGACGTGAACTGCAGTTGATTATGTGGGAGTCCAGCCTCATAGCCATTACGCTAATTGCTGGTCCCTATTGAGTATATTTTGGTGATAAACAAACACTGTGCCTGCACTTTGAGTCAGTTTCTTAATTCTAATGAATGGGGCGTAATTGATCTTGTCCATTGATACATATGTGATGGAGTTATTTAGAAAATGACGACGTGGGCCACTTTGAGCAAGTTGTGCTGTTTTCTCACAGATCACGGGACTGTGGTTACTGCTACCCGCCTCGATATAGAGAGAGCTCGGTTCGCACGTGTTCAGTCTTTCTCTATTAAGGCTTGTGACCGTGATCAGAGGTGTGCAGCAGTTGCAGTGACTGCCCATATCCGTGGCATTAATGACAACTCGCCATTCTGTGATCAATATCTGATCAGGTGAGCAGAGACAGGTGGGTAGGAGCAAGACCTTAGAGTGGACTGAGAGCAAAGGTATTACTCTACTCACAGACCCAAATGGATATGTGGTTGATCGTCAAATTGACTCTTGATTAGCTTCGTTCTATTGCAACAAGTGTAAATGTGGATAACAATGGTACCTTATTTCCTAGGGATATTGTGAGAAATAAATGAGGTAACACATAAAAAGGGCTTAGGAGTTTATCTGAACTGTGGAAAAGTCTCAGGAAGTGGGTTAATTATTAATTTCATGTAATAATTCCCACTGTTGTTAGTACTGTCTCCAACCTCCTATTCCTTCATCCCTATAAGGTATAGAAAAGAATATACAGAAAACAAATGCCATTCTTTTTTTTTTTTTTTTGGAGGGGTTTTTGCTATAGGGCGCATGCGCTCGCCAGACAGACAGAGAGACAGAGAGACAGAAAGCAAGAAATCACCCCCCAGAGGGATGGCCACACTGCAATCCCTTCTCCTCCGTTCTCCTCTCGGGATCTTGGGCGCATGCACGCGCGCCTGGCGTGAGTTTAAGCCACCGGGTCCGGGACGCGAACCGCGGTCGACTACGTGGGAGTCCAGCGACATAGCCATTATGCTAACTGCTGGTCCCAACAAATGCCATTCTAATCATCTTTTTTTTAAAACAAGTTTATTCAATATTGAAAATGCTGTTACTTCTATAAACTCAACTCTGCACAATAAAGTTGACATCACCCTGTATGAAGAAATTCCAATTGGGGAAAGGATCGGAGTATGCCAGGCAACTGATGCAGATAACTTGGGAGATTTAACCTTTGCCCTAGATCCATGGAATGTTTACTTTGCAGTTGACAAAGGTAGGCTGAGAATTGTCATGGTCCTCAGAAATGACCCGTGGGACAGATTTGTGACTGAAAGCTAGTCCTGAGGATGTGACAGTTAGTAAGTGGTAAAACCTTGAGTTCTGGAGTCATAGACCTAGCTTGGAATCCTGGTCCCATCTTTCACTTATTAGCTGTGTGATCTTACAGTAGGTAATATACTTAAGCCCTTTGATTTATCAAATGGGGTAACAAAAATAAATGGGATAATTCGAGAGCATTCTGATTGTAGTGCTAAGCATGTGGTATGAGTTTCGTAAAGGTTATTTATCACAGTTACATAATCCATGTACTGAAACCCTTGCCACCGAATATGCTTTAGAATAAAGATTTGTTTCCCCTGGTTTTAGAAAGGTAACATGGTCTGTGTATGATATTAAACATCTTTCCCGTGGGAGAAGAGTAGCCCCCAATATTTAGCTGTGTGGTGAATATTCACGCTAAGAGGGACAAACAGAAATCTGACAATTCAGGTGAAGTTTTTTTGTTTTTCTTTTTAGGTTTTTGTCATAGGTTGTGTGCATGCATCAGAGAGAGAGAGAGAAACAGAGACAGGGAAAATGATAAGTCTCCCTGTCCATTCTTTTCCTGAGATCCTGGGCACGCAGGCATATGTAACCACCGTGATTTTTTTTTTTTTTGAAGAGGTTTTTGCTATAGGGTGTGTGCTCACCAGACAGACAGAGAGAGACAGAGAGACAGAAAGCGAGATATCACCCCCCGGGGGGGATGGCCATGCCTCAATCCCTTCTCCATTCTTCTCTCGGGATCTTGGGCACGCACGCACACGCGCCCGGCGTGAGTTTAAGCCACCAGGTCCAGGACTCAAACCACAGTCGACTACATGGGAGTCCAGCGACATAGCCATTACACTAAC